GCTCTGGGGTGATGATGGGTCTGGGGTGGTGATGATGGCTCTGGGGTGATGATGGCTCTGGGGTGATGATGGCTCTGGGGTGGTGATGATGGCTCTGGGGTGGTGATGATGGGTCTGGGGTGGTGATGATGGCACTGGGGTGGTGGTGATGGCTCTGGGGTGATGATGATGGCTCTGGGGTGATGATGGCTCTGGGGTGATGATGATGGGTCTGGGGTGGTGGTGATGGCTCTGGGGTGATGATGGCTCTGGGGTGGTGATGGCTCTGGGGTGATGATGATGGCTCTGGGGTGGTGATGATGGGTCTGGGGTGGTGATGATGGGTCTGGGGTGGTGATGATGGCTCTGGGGTGGTGGTGATGGCTCTGGGGTGATGATGGGTCTGGGGTGGTGATGATGGCTCTGGGGTGATGATGATGGCTCTGGGGTGGTGATGATGGCTCTGGGGTGATGATGATGGCTCTGGGGTGATGATGATGGCTCTGGGGTGGTGATGATGGCTCTGGGGTGATGATGATGGCTCTGGGGTGGTGATGATGGGTCTGGGGTGGTGATGATGGCTCTGGGGTGGTGGTGATGGCTCTGGGGTGATGATGATGGCTCTGGGGTGATGATGGCTCTGGGGTGATGATGATGGGTCTGGGGTGGTGGTGATGGCTCTGGGGTGATGATGGCTCTGGGGTGGTGATGGCTCTGGGGTGATGATGATGGGTCTGGGATGGTGATGATGGCTCTGGGGTGGTGGTGATGGCTCTGGGGTGATGATGGGTCTGGGGTGGTGATGATGGCTCTGGGGTGATGATGATGGCTCTGGGGTGGTGATGATGGCTCTGGGGTGATGATGATGGCTCTGGGGTGATGATGATGGCTCTGGGGTGGTGATGATGGCTCTGGGGTGATGATGATGGCTCTGGGGTGGTGATGATGGGTCTGGGGTGATGATGGGTCTGGGGTGATGATGATGGCTCTGGGGTGGTGGTGATGGCTCTGGGGTGATGATGGCTCTGGGGTGGTGATGATGGCTCTGGGGTGGTGGTGATGGCTCTGGGGTGATGATGGCTCTGGGGTGATGATGATGGCTCTGGGGTGGTGATGATGGCTCTGGGGTGATGATGGCTCTGGGGTGGTGATGGCTCTGGGGTGGTGATGATGGCTCTGGGGTGGTGATGATGGCTCTGGGGTGATGATGGCTCTGGGGTGATGATGGCTCTGGGGTGGTGATGATGGCTCTGGGGTGATGATGGCTCTGGGGTGATGATGGCTCTAGGGTGGTGATGATGGGTCTGGGGTGGTGATGATGGCTCTGGGGTGATGATGGCTCTGGGGTGATGATGATGGGTCTGGGGTGATGATGGCTCTGGGGTGATGATGGCTCTGGGGTGGTGATGATGGGTCTGGGGTGGTGGTGATGGCTCTGGGGTGATAATGGCTCTGGGGTGGTGATGATGGCTCTGGGGTGATGATGATGGCTCTGGGGTGATGATGGCTCTGGGGTGGTGATGGCTCTGGGGTGATGATGATGGGTCTGGGGTGATGATGGCTCTGGGGTGGTGATGGCTCTGGGGTGGTGATGGCTCTGGGGTGGTGATGGCTCTGGGGTGATGATGATGGGTCTGGGGTGATGATGGCTCTGGGGTGGTGATGATGGCTCTGGGGTGATGATGGCTCTGGGGTGATGATGGCTCTAGGGTGGTGATGATGGGTCTGGGGTGGTGATGATGGCTCTGGGGTGATGATGGCTCTGGGGTGATGATGATGGGTCTGGGGTGATGATGGCTCTGGGGTGATGATGGCTCTGGGGTGGTGATGATGGGTCTGGGGTGGTGGTGATGGCTCTGGGGTGATAATGGCTCTGGGGTGGTGATGATGGCTCTGGGGTGGTGATGATGGCTCTGGGGTGGTGATGGCTCTGGGGTGATGATGGCTCTGGGGTGATGATGATGGCTCTGGGGTGATGATGGCTCTGGGGTGATGATGATGGCTCTGGGGTGGTGATGATGGCTCTGGGGTGGTGGTGATGTCTCTGGGTTGATGATGGCTCTGGGGTGGTGATGATGGCTCTGGGGTGGTGGTGATGGCTCTGGGGTGATGATGATGGCTCTGGGGTGATGATGATGGCTCTGGGGTGATGATGGCTCTGGGGTGGTGATGATGGCTCTGGGGTGGTGGTGATGGCTCTGGGGTGATGATGGCTCTGGGGTGGTGATGATGGCTCTGGGGTGGTGATGATGGCTCTGGGGTGGTGATGATGGCTCTGGGGTGATGATGATGGCTCTGGGGTGGTGATGGGTCTGGGGTGGTGATGGCTCTGGTGTGATGATGGCTCTGGGGTGATGATGGCTCTGGGATGATGATGGCTCTGGGGTGGTGATGATGGCTCTGGGGTGGTGATGATGGCTCTGGAGTGATGATGATGGCTCTGGGGTGGTGATGGCTCTGGGGTGATGATGGCTCTGGGGTGGTGATGGCTCTGGGGTGGTGATGATGGCTCTGGGGTGGTGATGATGGCTCTGGGGTGATGATGGCTCTGGGGTGATGATGGCTCTGGGGTCGTGATGGCTGTGGGGTGGTGATGGGTCTGGGTTGATGATGGCTCTGGGGTGGTGATGATGGCTCTGGGGTGATGATGGCTCTGGGGTGGTGATGATGGGTCTGGGGTGGTGATGATGGCTCTGGGGTGATGATGGCTCTGGGGTGGTGATGATGGCTCTGGGGTGATGATGGCTCTGGGGTGATGATGGGTCTGGGGTGATGATGATGGGTCTGGGGTGATGATGGCTCTGGGGTGGTGGTGATGGCTCTGGGGTGATGATGGCTCTGGGGTGGTGATGATGGCTCTGGGGTGGTGGTGATGGCTCTGGGGTGGTGATGATGGCTCTGGGGTGATGATGGCTCTGGGGTGGTGATGATGGCTCTGGGGTGATGATGGCTCTGGGGTGATGATGATGGCTCTGGGGTGGTGATGATGGCTCTGGGGTGATGATGGGTCTGGGGTGATGATGGCTCTGGGGTGATGATGATGGGTCTGGGGTGATGATGGCTCTGGGGTGATGATGATGGGTCTGGGGTGGTGATGATGGCTCTGGGGTGATGATGGCTCTGGGGTGGTGATGATGGCTCTGGGGTGATGATGGGTCTGGGGTGATGATGATGGCTCTGGGGTGATGATGGCTCTGGGGTGGTGGTTATGGCTCTGGGGTGATGATGGCTCTGGGGTGGTGATGATGGCTCTGGGGTGGTGGTGATGGCTCTGGGGTGGTGATGATGGCCCTGGGGTGATGATGGCTCTGGGGTGGTGATGATGGCTCAGGGGTGATGATGGGTCTGGGGTGGTGATGGCTCTGGGGTGATGATGGGTCTGGGTTGGTGATGGCTCTGGGGTGGTGATGATGGCTCTGAGGTGGTGATGATGGCTCTGGGGTGATGATGATGGCTCTGGGGTGGTGATCGCTCTGGGGTGGTGGTGATGGGGTCTGGGGTGGTGATGATGGCTCTGGGGTGATGATGGCTCTGGCGTGATGATGGCTCTGGGGTGGTGGTCATGGCTAAGGAAGCAGATCTTACCTGGTGTCTTCAGCGTCGCTGGCCAGGCAGGTGGTAGCGGCAGCCCTGGTGCCGGCTTTGGGGCCCACCGCCCCTGGGCAGCTGTGCAGGGAGGGGAACAGGTGCTGCTCATTGTCCTGTGAACGGAAAATCCCGTTGGTGTCTGGTGGCCGTCCCAGGCTCTCTGCACTGGTCCCTGACCTGCCAGGACCTGCTCCCTGCCTGGCCCTGGCTCTGGCTGCCCTTCCTAGGCTAACTCCATTTAGCTTTTCTTATGGCACCAAGAGCTCCGGCCTTCCAGGCCCCAGGTCCCTGACTCGGTGCCCACAGCCTCCGTCTACCCTCACCCTGGCCTCCCTCTGGAGCCTCGCTTCCCCACGGTGACCTTGAAATACCGGAAGAGTGGAGCGCAGGAGACACTGTGCTGTATACACCCACAATCTGCTCCCAGCTCTCCTCACAACCGCCGGGGGCTTCCAGACCCACCCCACTCCCCCAAATCTCCTAGACCCCAAACCCCACCTCACCCGCTTCTCCTCAGACTCCCACTACTGACATCTCATCAAAGGCACATACACAGAAGGCCCAGGATGGCAAGCCCCGCAGGCGGGCCTGGGGCTGTGGGGGCAGGGGCCCGGAGGGTGCTCCAGAGAGCTGCAGAGGGGCTGCTGCGCCCTGGGGCTGCCTGCAGGAGGGTGCGGGTGCGAATCCTGTGGTCGGCCCAGAAAGAAGTCCAGGGCAGCGTCCGGGAGGGGAGCGGGGGCAACGGGCCTGTGGAGGGGGGCTGTGGTGCGCAGGGCCGAGTCCTCGGCGACCGGGACACCAAGCCAGACAAAACGACGCTGAACAGACAAGACTGGCAGAAATGGAAACCCCGGATCTCGCTGAGAACAGGGCAAGCCTGAGATTTCTTAGGGGCCAGACCAAGGGAGGCTCTTGCTCTGGTTTTGTTTGCGGAGCTGGGATGGAGCCAGGGTCTTGGGTGTGAGGCATGCTCTCTACGCGTCACCCCCCAGCCCAGCTTGCTCTTTTTATGGCATTATTATTATTTGCTGAGTCTCAAGATGCAGCTCTGGCTGGCCCTGGACATGTGGTCATCCTGCCTCTCCCTGGCCACCATGCCCAGCTCCAACCCTCTTTCCAGCCCGAGGGGCAATCAGCAGAACTGGGGTGGCCTCAGGCCCACGAGGGCCGGCAGTCTTCTGATGTGGGGCCGCGGCTGCCCAGGGCGGCCCCGGCTCTGGCCACAGAGGCCCTGCAGGAAGCCCCCGCGTGGAGGGCAGTGGAATGAACTGCAGCGTCCTTGGCGTCCACAGCAGCTGGAGCCATGGGGCCTAGTCCGGATGCCCTGTGCCACCAGCAGCCACCAGCCCTTCAGTGGCCCCCTGGGGAAGTGGCCTGCGGCGGGCTCCACTTCATTCCCCAAATCATGCACCAAAGTCTCCCAGCTCAGTCCCTCAGCTGTGACGGCCCGTGGACGCCAGCCGCCAGAGACCGGCACTGACCCCAAGGGGTGTCACGCCTTCAGTGAGGGCCAGGTAGCTGGGTACTAGGTCCATGTGACCCCGTGGAATATGGAGATTGCTGGCCACTGTGGGGTGGACAAGGGGCAAAGAAACCTGCTGCGGTCAAACCACATGCCAGCCCCAGTGAGTCTCTCACTGAGTAACTGAGCTTAGGCATGGAGGAGGGAGCACCAGCCCGGTGGTGGGGAGGAGGGAGAGTGGAGAGGATCAGGGAAGAAGGGGATCGCTGGCTTGCAGACAGGGACCTGTGACATCACCACATCTGACTTCATTCCTCCCAGCCAAAATGGGAATGCCAGCACTGCCCAGCCCAAAGAAAGCCCCAAGGGGGCACGCACACACGCACACACATGCACAAGTGCACACACAGGCACACACATGCATGCACACACATGTGGGAACACGCCCTGCCAGCCCAGGCCCAGGAGCAGCCCAGGGCCCCTGCAGGCACACTTGCTGATGCCGTGGGTTTGGTCCCAGAGCAGGGAGGCAGCGAGCAGAGGAGAGGCCAGCATCGGCCAGAGGAGACTTGTTCCAGAGGGAGACAGCACTGCGCCCCCCCCCCGCCCCCATGCAGCAGGGACTGGGGCTTCGGAGCCTCTGAACACTGCCAGGGCCACACCGCGCCCTCAGCCAGGGATGTCTGCCACGTGGGACTCCACTCAGCACCTCAAGAGGCTGCCCCTGCTCTGCCCGTGGAGACTTGGGAGGCGCCTGGGACTCTGGGAACCGGGACAGGCCCTGCGGGGAGAGTGCGGAGAGCCGGGCTGGCTCACACCCCTCCGGGAGCAGATGGCCCCCAGCACGGGGCTGATCCCCAGGGAGATGCCAGCCTCTGCTCCCAGATGCACAGATCTGAGCAGAGGGGGACTGAGGTGAGCCACAGGCTCAGAGGGGCCCCAGTCACAACAACCCTTCCCAGGAGTGGACCGGAGCACCCTGGGGCCACCCAGCCTGCAGCCTTGTGTCACCCCTCGCGAGGGGGCAAAGGTCACTGCACACCGGCGCTCTGAAGGGCAGCATGGGTGGGGGCAGCAGTGGACCCGGGTCCAGCTCAGATCTCCAACACGTGTGTGGTGGCCCTGGGCGGGAGGCTTCCCTAGGAATCCCAGGCCTGGCCCCAGGCTCCACCAGCCCCAGGCCCTTGGGCAGGCCTGGGACTCCTACAGCCCAGACTGGTGGGGGGAGGGAGGGGAAGGGGCCCGGGGAGGCCTCACCCCAGGCTACTGCCCCCCGAGGCCCGGCCCTCGGCTCCCCGGTGGTCTGTTGGGTGAGACCCCCCCCTTCTCTAGACCTGGCTGGGAGCTCTTGAGTTCATTACCGTCTACGCGTGATGTGATAAGCCCTCTGATGGCTGCATTAGGGGCAGGACGGCAGCTTATAAATTACAGGACATGTTCTCACGCGTCTGCCTCTCCGGGGCCTGCAAGAGAAGTTAATTATTTTTATGGGTCCAGGTAGGGCTCGGGCCATCAGAATGCCCAGCCTGGTCCAAGCCGCAAGGACGCTGCCCTGCGCCCGCTCCTTCTGGGGGCTGTGCTGGCTCGGGCGCCCTCCCCCACGGCCAGCCCTCCCCCCCCCTCCCGCAGAGGCCCAGGTTAATAGGGACCCTGGTTTCCTATTATCCCTGCCCCGAGCAGTGGGCCGGGCTCAGCCCTGAGTGGCCGCTGGGCCATCAGTAACCCTGAAGGATATTCAGCAATCTTTTTTTCCCCCAATTGCCCACCACAGCCTATATTACAAATACATAAATCATAATGTTTCAACAAAAGCAAAATTTAATTTTCTCCTTTCAGCCGTTATCTGGGCCGGGTGGTATATGGCAGGCTGCGCCCCGCTCATTTATTACACCGCTGAATGGATAATGGCAGGCCCGGGCGAGTGCGGGGCTTTGTTGGCCTCTCGCGCGGGCGGCCGCACAGCCCAATCTCCCCACATCTGAAATAGACACACCAGCCCTATTATTCCCTGCCAGAGCAGAATTAAATACTAGTGTGCGTGCGCGTGCGGGCGTGCGCGCGCCGGGCGGGGCCGCGCAGGGGTGGGGACCCTCCCCCGGCTCCGTAGGCCCATTTCACGGACGCGGGGCGCTGAGGCCCGGGGCCAGGCAGGGCCCAGGACCCCATGGCCAAGTTCCTGACCTGCGGGCTCGGTGGGGCCTGGGACGGCCTGATTGGGGGGCGGCCTGATTGGGGGGCTCACAAGCCCCAGAACAGCGTGATTGGGGGCAGTGGGGCCCGGACGGCGAGGTCAGGGCCGGGAGGCCCCGGACGGTGCCGCAGAGAGGCCTCAGGGCCTGTCTGGAGCTCAGGATGGAGTCCTCAGGCACTCATCACAGGGGTCCTCCCAGTCCCGCCTCTGACCCACCTTCCTCCCGCTTGGCTTCCCAGGATCCAGCTCCAGTGCTGGTCCGCCCGGGCCCCAGCCCCGCCCCGAGCCCCGCCCCGAGCCCCCCAGCCCCGCCCCGAGCCCCCCAGCCCCGCCCCGAGCCCGGCCTAGGCCCCACCCAGGCCCCGCCCCCAGCCCCACCCCAGGCCCCGCCCCAGCCCCGCCCCCGCCGGCGCCTCTACCCACCGCACCCTGCCCCAGGCCCCGCCCCCAGTCCCACCCCAGGCCCCGCCCCCAGGCCCGCCCCGAGCCCGGCCTAGGCCCCACCCCGAGCCCCCAAGCCCCGCCCCAGCCCCGCCCCTGCCCCCCAGCCTCGCCCCCAGCCCGGCCTAGGCCCCACCCCAGCCCCGCCCCGCCTCGCCCCAGCCCCGCCCCCGCAGGCGCCTCTACCCACCGCACCCTGCCCCAGGCCCCGCCCCCAGCCCCGCCCCGCCCCCGCCTCTACCCACCGCACCCTGCCCCAGGCCCCGCCCCCCCAGCCCCGCCCCAGCCCCGCCCCCGCCCCCCGCCTCTACCCACCGCACCCTGCCCCAGGCCCCGCCCCCAGTCCCGCCCCAGCCCCGCCCCGCCCCCGCCTCTACCCACCGCACCCTGCCCCAGGCCCCGCCCCCCAGCCCCGCCCCAGCCCCGCCCCCGCCGGCGCCTCTACCCACCGCACCCGCCCCGGACCCCTGCGGCCTCCTGACTGCCATCCCCGCGAGTCACAAGCAACACGGGCCGGACGCCGTCCGCGCAGCCCTGATCCTTCCTGGTGCCCAGGGGCCCCGACTCAGCGGTGGGCTCAGAGGCCCCGAAGGGGTCCTGGCTGCCGCCTGAGCCCAGCCTGGTCTCACCGCAGGAAAAGCTGCGGGCGCTGCGCTGCCCAGGCCGGGGCGCCGTGCGGGCTCCAGGCTCCAGACTCCAGGCTCCAGGCCGGGGCGCCGTGCGGGCTCCAGGCTCCAGGCTCCAGGCCGGGGCGCCGTGCGGGCTCCAGGCTCCAGGCCGGGGCGCCGTGCGGGCTCCAGGCTCCAGGCCCGGGCGCCGTGCGGGCTCCAGGCTCCAGGCTCCAGGCCGGGGCGCCGTGCGGGCTCCGGGCTCCAGGCGCCAGGCCGGGGCGCCGTGCGGGCTCCAGGCTCCAGGCCGGGGCGCCGTGCGGGCTCCAGGCGCCAGGCCGGGGCGCCGTGCGGGCTCCAGACTCCAGGCCGGGGCGCCGTGCGGGCTCCAGGCGCCAGGCCGGCGCGCCGTGCGGGCTCCAGGCTCCAGGCCGGGGCGCCGTGCGGGCTCCAGGCGCCAGGCCGGGGCGCCGTGCGGGCTCCAGGCTCCAGGCTCCAGGCCCGGGCGCCGTGCGGGCTCCAGGCTCCAGACTCCAGGCCGGGGCGCCGTGCGGGCTCCAGGCTCCAGGCCCGGGCGCCGTGCGGGCTCCAGGCTCCAGACTCCAGGCCGGGGCGCCGTGCGGGCTCCAGGCTCCAGGCCGGGGCGCCGTGCGGGCTCCAGGCTCCAGGCCCGGGCGCCGTGCGGGCTCCAGACTCCAGGCTCCAGGCCCGGGGCGCCGTGCGGGCTCCAGGCTCCAGGCCGGGGCGCCGTGCGGGCTCCAGGCGCCAGGCCGGGGCGCCGTGCGGGCTCCAGACTCCAGGCCGGGGCGCCGTGCGGGCTCCAGACTCCAGGCCGGGGCGCCGTGCGGGCTCCAGGCGCCAGGCCGGGGCGCCGTGCGGGCTCCAGGCGCCAGGCCGGGGCGCCGTGCGGGCTCCAGACTCCAGGCTCCAGGCCGGGGCGCCGTGCGGGCTCCGGGCTCCAGGCGCCAGGCCGGGGCGCCGTGCGGGCTCCAGGCGCCAGGCCGGGGCGCCGTGCGGGCTCCGGGCTCCAGGCTCCAGGCCCGGGCGCCGTGCGGGCTCCAGCACCACATGGGTGCGCACAGGCCCCGCCGCCGTCTGCGCTGGCCGCTCCCTGGCCCGGCTGCGTCTCTGGGCCGAGGCGCTGTGTGCGGCCCGGCTGCGTCTCTGGGCCGAGGCGCTGTGTGCGGCCCGGCTGCGTCTCTGGTCTCTGGGCCGAGGCGCTGTGTGCGGCCCGGCTGCGTCTCTGGTCTCTGGGCCGAGGCGCTGTGTGCGGCCCGGCTGCGTCTCTGGTCTCTGGGCCGAGGCGCTGTGTGCGGCCCGGCTGCGTCTCTGGTCTCTGGGCCGAGGCGCTGTGTGCGGCCCGGCTGCGTCTCTGGTCTCTGGGCCGAGGCGCTGTGTGCGGCCCGGCTGCGTCTCTGGTCTCTGGGCCGAGGCGCTGTGTGCGGCCCGGCTGGCTGGCCCGTTTACAGCCGGACTCAACCCCCTCCGGACAGGCAGGCAGGGCCGCCGGCGCGCAGCTCCGCCTTGGTCCGGCTCCCTCTCCTCGCACCACCGTGTGCCGGCCCCGCCAGGGCACAGACGAGCCTGCGCCCTCAGCCCGGGAGCACCGAGAGCACGGACAGACAGCCACGTGGGCCTGACCGAGGGAAGCGCAGCGCTGCTGCGGCCGTGAACGCAGCAGGAAGGCCGAGGGCCAGACCGTGGAGAGTGAACAGGGCGGAAGACGCGCAGTCCCAGAGAAAACGGACACGGGCCACTGGGGCACCGTCATGAGCACACCAAATCCAATGCGCTAACTAAAAGGCAATATCCTGATAGGACTAAAACGTTAAGGCCAATTACACGCCACAATGAGAGCACACCTTAAATGCAAAGCCACACACAAAGGTACAGCCGGGCTGAGACCGGTGGGGCACCGCATTAACACCGGCGAGGCAGGCTGAAAAAGAAAGAGGTCTGCCTCCCCAGGACACACAGGAAAGGAGCATTTCATCAAGAGAATCGAGAACACCGAACACTCACTCAGCTAAGAACAAAACCACAAAAGTCATAAACGAACACCTAAAAACTGGCAAGGAAACCCAAATCCATAACTGGAGATTTCACATCTCACATCCCTCTCTCCCTCTCCCTCCCTCCCTCTCTCTCTCTCTCTCTCTCTCCCTCTCCCTCTCCCTCCCTCTCTCTCTCTCTCTCTCTCTCTCTCTCTCTCTCTCTCGCTCTCTCTCTCTCTCTCTCTCTCTCTCTCTCTCTCTCAGGCAATGAGAATCCTGTGGGAGATGTTGGCCGATGTGACCACCAGCTGCTCTTTTCAAGTATGCAAGGAATACTTAGAAAGAAAGACACATTCTGGGCCATCAAATAATTCTCAAGGGGGGCGCTGGTGGCTCACGCCTGTCATCATAGCTACTCAGGAGGTCTAGAAAGTCAAGCATTGCAGTTCAAAGATAGCTTAGGCAGAAATGTCTCCAAGACTCTTTTTCCAAAATAACCAACAAAAAGCAGAGCTAGAAGCCTCATTTAAGTGACAGAGCACCAGATGAGCAATCCAAGTCAAAGAGATGAGAGGCTTTGAGTTTAAACCCCAATACTAAAAAAGTCCAAACACACAAAAATGTGCAAATCATATAGTAAGTAACACACATGGAACTAAACTAGAAATCAATGGCAGAAAGACACCTGGAAATTTCCTAAATATTTAACATGCCTCTAATAATGCCTGGGTCTCAGGAGGAAATTGAAAGGAAGCATTTTGAACTGAATGTAGGTGAAAATATAACATCAACAACTGTTGGATGAAAATAAGCATATACTACTTAGAGGGAAATGTAGAGCATTAAACACCTATGTGAGAAAAAAATAAACAAATGAGCCGAGCATGGCAGTGCGAAGCTATAATCTCAGCTCTCGGGTGAGGTTGGAGGTTCACGAGTTATAACCAGCTTGGGATACATAGCAAGACCGTATCGCAAAAACAAAACACAACAAAAATAAATGAGTAGGAAAAGTAAAATAAAACTCAAACAGAAAAAAACCAACAACAATAAACATCAGCGTGGAAATTAATCAACCAGAAATCAGGAAAACTGAGAAGACGGAAAGGCTGACAGTCCAGATCAGACAGGGGTCAACGCTGAAGGTCGCTGACGGCCAGTTTCAGGACTCGGGAGAGGTGGTTCAGTCCTCCAGACGCTGAGAGGATGAGGAGGGGAAGCTGCTGGCTTTTTACACCGACAAATCCAACAACTTAGACGAATGAGACAGAGACAGACAAGTTTCTCAGTGATACAAACTATCAAAACTCATTCAAGAAGAAATAAAAATAATGAACAGTTCGATAACTATTAATGATCGAATTTGTACTAGACACTTTCCCAAAGCCAACTGGCCTTCAAATTAAATCATTCCCAGTAGTTGTACAAAGTCAGAAGGTGAGAACAAACCATCTCGGTCATGGCCAACAGGCTTCTAAAGGAGCAGGCTGCAGGCTGGCGCCTGCCTGTAACCGGGCACAACGTGAGCACTGCGCTCCAAGACAGCCCGGGCAAGAAAGGCAGTGTGATTCCTTTCCATGTGAGTTGTGGGTGGAGGGGAGGTCGTGGGGCTTGAGCTCCAGGCCTGGCGCCGTCCCTGAGCTCTTCCAGCAAGGCTAGCACTTTACCACTTTGAGCCACAGCACCACTTCTGGTTTTCTAGTGGTTAATTGGAGATAAGAGTCTCATGGTTGGAGCTGGGAAGGTGACTCAGTGGTAGAGCGCTTGCCTTGCATGCATGAGGCCCTGAGTTCAACTCCTCAGCACCCCATAAGCAGAAAAAGCCAGAAGTGGTGCCGTGGCTCAAGTGGTAGAGCGCTCGCCTTGAGCTGAAGAACTGAGGGACCGCGCCCAGGCCCAGAGTTCAAGCCCACAACCAGAAAAAAAAAAGTGTATCATAGTCTTTCTTACCCAGGATGGCCTTGAACCATGATCCTAAGATCTCAGCCTCCTGAGTAGCTGGAATTATAGGTGTGAGCCACTGATGCCCAGTTCTGAGATTCTTATCTCCAATTAACCACTAAAAATCCAGAAGCGGCACTGTGGCTCAAGTGGCAGAGCGCTCACCTTGAACAAAAGAGCTCAGGGACAGCTCCCAGCCCTGAGTTCAAGCCCCAGGACCAAAAAGAAATCACAAGCCAGGTGCCAGTGGCTTGCATCTGTAATTCTAGCTACCAGGAGGCTGAGACCTGGAGGACTGAGGTTCAAAGCCAGCCCGGGTGGAAAAGTCTGTGAAATTCAATATTCAATTAACCAGCAAAAGTTCCAGGCTGGAAGTATGGCTCAAGTGGGAGAGTACCAGCTGTGAGCGTGAGAGCAATACTGTCGTGGCTTCGAGCCGAGCTACCAGTGCGGGAGAGTCACGTGTCACGATCAGGTGAAGCTCAAGGGAGGCAAAACTGATTCACCATTTAAAAGTCAATGGGACTCGCCAGCTAGCCGGCAAACACACATCCAACCATTGTTCTAGCAACAAACTTTCCGGCCAGGAGTGATGCTACATACCTACAATCCCAGCCACTCCGAAGGCAGACGTAGGAGGATCTCAGGTGAGGGACAACCTGTTTCCATGACGAAATAAAGACAAAAGGGTTTGGACGTGTCAAGCGGCAGAGCACCTGCTTAGCAGCCTGAAGCCCCGGGGCCCCCGGAATCCTTCCAGCCAGGGGAGGGTGGACGACTCTCGGTAATCCAGGGAGATTCTACTCCTGGGAAGGTTGCAGGACCCTTACCAAAAGAAAAAATAAAGTTAGAATTAAATTTTTCATTCCTAGAGAACTTCTTGTGGATCATGTAACAAAATAAAATTCTACGTGGAATAGTATGGAAGATCATACAGAAGAAACTGCAGAACACAGCGACAGCACAGGCCTGGGCACACGCGCTGCGGCGCCCTTCCCAGAAGGTGAGAGGCCGCGTTTCTGAAACAATCCTTCTGAGGCGCCGGCGCTTGGTAGACCCGCGCCTGGCCCTGTGACTGCAACCCTTCTGCGCGGTATTTTCACAATAAAAAAATAAAAAAGGAATCATAATCCGTCTGAAAAATAGGGCTAGAAGAGAACTTCCTCAACTTGGTAAAAGCACGTCTGAGAAACCTGCAGCTAACGCATGTTTAATGACAAAGACTATAAGCCTTCCCCTAAGATTAGAAAAAGGTGAAGATGTCTCTTCACCTTTCCGTTCAGTATTCTAGAGTATTATAGCCAGTTCATCAAAGCCGAAGTTATAAAGCACCAAAATTATAAAGGAAGAACTAAAGCTTTATTGGTAGCATAATACTATGCTACTAATTCCGTGGCCACGGTAACAATGGCTGCTCAGACAGGTGCATTCTACCCAGCAAAGTCTCCAGAACGGGTGAAAATGGGTGGCCCGACTGACACCGCAGCTTCAGCCGGGCCGGGGGCCGTGTCCCCTGAGCGTTGCTTCCAATCACACGGAGTTCTCATGGCTGTGACCGAGAACCCAAAACATCTTGAGGTGGTAAACATGGGTACCAGGTTCAGTTCCCAGAAACACACGCACACACGCATGCACAGGTGGACACGTGCCCAAACACATCCACACACAAGCAACACACAGGGAAATTCTTCAATTGAGAGAACTGACACCACACACACAAACCCTCTAAAACCAGGAGAGCTCATGCATGCCAGGAAGCCTCGCCAGCCCCCGGGAGTAAACGGGGCCGTGAGGAGCTGTGTCGGAAAGGACATTTTGCAAATGTTTCCATCCATAGTCTCCGGCCTTGGCCTTGGGGACTGCGGCGGGACGGAACGTGCTGCCGCTGGAGCGGGTGGCGAGACGGGAAGCAGAGAGAGGCAGGCCGGGCCCCGGTGAGCCCTTCAAGAGGGCGCTCCTGTGGGCCCTTCCTCCAGCCTGGCTGGGCTCCTGACGCCCCAGCCCGGGAGCAGCCCCTCCCGCCCCGCCCGAGCACTCAACACACCAGCCTGCGGACATTTCCTGTTCCAACCGGAACAGCCCACTCCCAGTCCGAGCGCTCGGCCCCCTCAGAACATAAAATGCATTTGTGCAGCTCTGAGGACCCCAGAAGTCGTGACCGCTCCGGTGTAATGCAAAAGCCTAAGCTCCACGCCCCTCGGACATTCTTGTAAATTAGAAAAGCAAGCTACATCCCTCTGATGTACAGCGGCCCAGAGTCAAGAGTTCGAAAAGGAAGAGCAAGGAGAGACCACAGCAAAGCCAGACCAAAGCCGGAGAGCCGCTCGCGAACCCCGCCAGCAGTGCACGCCCTGAGGCTCCTGGCGGTGGGGTGGTGCGCCCGAGGGCCTGGGCAGCTCACCCACGGCCTGGCTGCCCCCGGCCTCGGGCCCTCTCCTGGGCTGACCCATCTGGTGCGTGGCCCTGCTGGTGGCAGACGGCCCGTGTTCCTGGCATCCACAGGTCCAGGCAAGCTGGGTTCACCGCCCACATTAGCATGACTCCGGGGGCCGCCGCCAGGACTCCTGACCCCAGACCTGCCTCTGAAAGGCTGGGGGAGCCTCCATCACCCCACAACCTTGCACTCTGCATCACGGGAGGACACCAGCGTCTTCCCCAGCCCAGGCCGAGGTCAGCCAGCTCTGTGCTGCTGGCGCAGCTCCTCACAGTGGAGGAGTCTCTGGAACCTTCCAGGCACCCCTAGTGAACACGGAGCCTTGGATCCGCTCCCTGCTCAAAGGCCAGTCTTGCGAGAGTTTACCCTTCCATGCCCCGAGCTACGATGGATGGGGTCTGT